AGACATGAATTACCAACCCATGCTACAACATGGAAGAAGCTTGAAAACATTAGACTAAGTGAAAGATGCCAGTCACAGAAAACCATGTATTATGTCATTTATATAAAAAGTCCCAAACAGGTCAATCTGTATGGACGGAAAGATTAGTGGTTTCCTACGGATGAAGATCTGGGGCGGGGTGGGTGGGGAAGCCTATGTTGCAGGGCTTCTTTTTGGGGTGATGAAAATGTTCTAAAATTGATTTATGGCTGCACAACTCAGTGAATATACTAAAAGCTACTCAAGTGGGAAGAATTTAAATGGGTGAATTGTACGGTGTACAAATTATATCTCAATTAAGCTGTTACCAAAAATAAAAATGAACAAATAAAGGTTAATAACTGTCTTATTTCATGTAATTTGGAATTCATTTAAGAATGGACAATTCTTATTAGTCTAGACAATGACATTAAAGTTGCATGATTAATTTAATTTAAATATTGCTTTTTAAAAATAGACACCATTCTTTAAATTGTGCATGATAAAGGTGAGAACACCACAAATTTACTAGAAGAATGTTTATGGACTTGAGCATGGGGAATATCTTTATACATATTATACTGACAAAACTGTAAATGATTAACAGCTTTGCCTATAAATACAAAACATTCACTATTTCAGCATCAAAGACAACATGCAAATGCTAGAATGAGAAAACACTTGTTAACAGGAGACTGAGCTCAGAAGTGAACTTTAAAAAGTGCTCCAATAGGGTCGGCCGAGTGGTGCACTGGTTAAGAGCTGGCTTGGGACGCCAGAGGGCCCTGGTTCGGATCCCATATATGAGGGCCAGTGACACTGCCCTCTACAGCTAAGATGCTGAACAACAGCTCAACCTGGAGCTGGGCTGCCCTGAGTCACCGGCGACAGTGTAGGCTGCAGCCCCTGCTGCAGTAGATTGCCATGGGCTACCGTGTGTAGCCAGCAGCCAGCGTGAGCGGCCGTCCAGAAGCCCAGAAGCCAGCAA